ACGTCAGCATACAACACATCTTCTCACCTAAATCAACTGTGAGGAAAGTGTTTAATAAGTGTTGGTGTAGTGACATGGTCTATGTAATCTATCTTCTGTACTTGCTAGCCAAAAAACACAAACAAAAAACAAAAACAAACAAATACCTGCTGTATATATGTTTTTTTGTGGTTTTTTTTAAAGTTTATGAACTTTTAGATGACAGTAGATGATAGATACTTTGCATAAAATTAAAATAAAAAAATAAAACCAAGTTAGGTAATTCTGGATTTCCACAAGAGGTTGACACTAAGAGAGATCATCGTGATAAACGGTGCTCATTGCTACCATGTACACGATTAAATCGTATCTCACAGATTCTTTTCATCAAAATGCTGAATATGGAATATCATCAGTAAAATAAGGATATTCTGCCTCTGCTCATGAAACTGCTAGAACATGTAAATTTTTAGGACACCCTCTAATCGATCAATATTTAATTCCATATGTAGTCTATATAGAGAAAAACCATATACTTGTTGGCAGCATTTTTTTTGCTACAAATGGGGTCATTGACATTTCAAATAAATTGTTGGAATCCATAAAAAATCGGGAAACTTTCTCATGTGGATTCCTTTAACATTTTACCCGATTACCGTAGGCAGTAACTTCATTATAGTTTAGCTGTACAAAGGACTTGTCTGGGAGGCTAATTAAAAGATAGTCAACAGGTCTGTGTAGAACATGTATGTACTATTTTACATCATCAAAACTCCCGAACTATCAGAAAAAATTTGCGTCATACTTAAGGGCCCAGTTGTTCAAAAGGTGGTTAGCTTATCACTGTTTAACGACATTTTTCAACCTTTAATAATTTCGTCAATATTCAAGGTAAAACCTCACAATTTTGCATGTAAACTCACTTTACTAAACATTTGATATCTGAAAAGGTTGTAACTAATTCAGTGGTTGTGTTTTAAAGTTACTCAAAAATTGAAGTTTGCGCTAATCACTGATTAAGCTAATCACCTTTTGAACAACTGGGCCCAGATACGCAGAACCTAGAAAATTAAGTGGGAACAAAATTCATGCATTGCTTGTGTTTAACTAAATAAGGAATTGATGATAATGTCTTCTGTCCTTTACATTGTTTCTTAATCCCAATCCTTTCACCTCAAAACTGTTGGCTTGAAAAGCAATTCCTTTGACCTCTGGATTGTTCACTTTGTAAGAAATTCTTTGACCTCCAGATTTGTCACTTGCTGAGTTAACCTAAAATACATATAGTGTCCACTGGCTGGGCTATCCTAACCTAAAATATATAGTGTCCACTGGCTGGGCTATCCTTAAACCTGTAATTTGTTCATTTGGGGAGATTCCTTTGGCCTCTCAATTATTCACTTGCTAATCACAAACAATCCTCTTATTTGATGACATGAAAAGCAATCTTTAACCCTTAAAACTGCTTCTTGAAGAACCATTTCTTCAGGAATTAAAATTAATTCTAACTACTAACTAACGATCGTTCCACATTGTTGATTTGGAGAGCAACCTTTTGACCTTTAGATTAATTTTATTGAGAGCATTTCCTTAATCAACAACTGAATTAATTTCGGGGAGGGCTGTTATTTGACCTCTAAATTTGCTGATTGTGACAGCGATCATTTGACATCGGAAATCATTTACTCGAAAAGCAGTCTTTAATTAACCACAAAGATAATTTCTTGGAGATCGATAGTTTGACCTCTACAATTGGTGACTTTGACAGCAATCATTTGACCTCAGAATTGTAGACGCGAAAAACAGTCATCCGACCCCAGCAATTTTTTACTTGGAGAGCAATTCTAGGTATCTAAATGACTTCCTGCATCCTTTAACCTTTTATCTGTTGGTATGGAGATCAGTGGTCATTTGATCTGGCCTTAATCACATGACTACACAATCAAGTCAATCCTTCTTTATCGGAAGCCCCATCCTTCTTGTATTAGTAGTTTCTAAAACCGGATCGGTCGCTGTAATACCCTCGCTACTTATGGTGTCCTTTACTGTGTTGCTCTGAAGCTTATACGAGCGTGGCTTTTTCTGAGTGAATTGGGAAAAGCCTCCTTATGTTAATTGGGTAAGATCATCAATATATTGTCTGTCAATTGGAAAAATCATTGATGCATCAGTTGGGTGTGTGTGTCAATAATTTCCAACATGCAACACTGATTTACCAATTCTTTACTCTTTATTTAAATTTAAAAAGCCTGTAATCTGATCTTCGTAAGATCATTTCTTTACAATTTATCATCTAAAAGATTAAGACATTCTTATTTTTATCAAAGATAATTCCGTTTTTTGATGTTAGATGTTTCATTGTCATCTGAATACAAGATGAAAAGCTTCTAACCAAGAACATTGCCCCTTAAAAATGTGCACTATATGCGAATATGTGCAGTATCTTTTTCTGAAATTTGAAAGGCTTTTGGAACTCTTTTTTTATTGGAAATTGGGCCAAATTTAGCCCCAACAAGACACTGACACACCCATGCCCCATTTAATTCATTTGGTACATACCTTGCAATGTGTTGAAAATAATAAAATATAAATACATTCCTTAACCCTTTCACCCCTAGGTAACTAGAGTAGATTCTACCATACATTCATTTGGATGAGTCCATTATGGTCTACTGTGGTGAAAGGGTTAGGAAACAATTTAAAATATTTGGAAGAAATTTTGCATGAAGATAAATCTATTGGAAGTGAGGTAGAGGAATGAGTAATTCAAGAGAAAAATATTTTTGTCTTTCATTTTAACGCCTTAGAAATGATAATAAACTTGTCCGTTCTTTGCACAGGACTGATCCACCAGCGAAACTAAAGGAATGCGGTATTGATTGTAACCTTAATGTCACTGATAATCAGTCCTAAATGTCAAGATGTTTATTTTCCTCAGATCAACATCTCTGACTGTGTGTCTCGTACATGTTGTCTGCCTCCCTGCAGACATCTTTCCAGCTTATTCTCCAATTGGTATATACTGTATAGAGTCTATAGTTTCCTGGGGAGCCGAAACTCAATATCGCATGTATCGGTGTGTGTAGAGCTAATTACGCCATGTCAATCGTAGGTCTTGTATAGTTTTATTACTAATACAAACAGAAATCTCCAAGGCATACTGATAGTATTGTATCAGTAACACGGAGACATCTGAAAGGTGTACACACAGAACATTAGGAATACCAAATACTGATGTGACTAAGTCTTGTTCATGATCGTGATGAAATGTAGGTAATATAATGACACTGATACTTATAAATCAAAAGATTTATTACCGAAAGTACATATAATTTCTTCCAAATCAAGTATCAGAAAATTTCCAATCTGGAAATCAGTAGTAAGAAAACTCAAACAGCTGCCATGATGACTTTGTTTTGGTTTTCACAAATATTTTAGTATGATATTTTATGAGAATGTTGAAAAGTTGACGATTTTCCATTTAAAAGTGGCCAAATCTATAATCTTTATCCCCCGCTTTCACCGAAACAGGGGATAATAAATTTGGGTTTGTCCGTCTGTTTGTCGGTCTGTCACGCTTCGTTTCCATGCAATAACTACAACAAATGTTAACTGATTATCTTCAAACTTGGTTACAGGGTTAAATGCCTTAAGGGCTCGGCCAAGATCGATGACGACTTTCAGGGGACCCCATTTGGCGGAGTTATGGCCCCTTGAATAATAAAAAGGTTCTAGAGAATCTTTGGCCAAAGGGAATTGAATATTTATAAATGGAAGATGTGTCTGAGGCATGCTTAGGGGAAAAAAACTCAATTTGTTTAATTTGTATAAAAAAGGTGCATGTGAAGCCCAATAGGGGAAATAGAGGAAAATTGGGACATAACATAAAAACTCATTTTCTTGGTGTCTTTCCCACCAAAACAGATTTATATGTAGTTTCTTGTACTCCTTTGATAAACCTGTTTGGTACTCAGCAGGTTTTAAATTGAAAAAAAAAATACCAGGTGAGCTATTAAGGCCCCTGGGCCTCTTGTTTAAGTTGTTGTTTCAGAAATCCCCCTATTAAATGAAATGTATTTGCATAATGTCAGGAGTTAATGATGGCCTGTCTGCCTTCGAGGCATGTGAATTTCCAATTCCACCGTCCACCGATTTAAAATCTTATGGAATCATGCCAAAATAGAGCTTTCATGTAAAATAAGATTGCTGGTTTTCCAAACCAGAAATCCTGGACCTAATTGTCATGTTTCTAGGGCTGTGTAACATTGTCAGGATACAGTGAACATTGTACAACGAACACACATAGGATGTACATGGTAAAAAAAAAGACATTTATACTGATTTTTAATATTGTTTTGTGTATGTAATAGCCTAGTTTGAAGAGTGGTATTCAGCAAAGCCTACCACAGGAATTTATTGTAAAATGGGTAAGCAATCCATACCTAGTATACCATAGAACCTGTCTAGATTGAACAAATTATCCTGTTCAGTATGTGATAAAACCTGTTAACATTGAACACCTGTAACAACAAAATCTTCCTGTTCCTAATAAACAGTTTTTTTCGGATGGTACAATGATGGATTGAGCTATAATATGTTTTAAAAATACAGAATTTGGTCAATAAGTGCAGCTTAAACTGACTGAGTTTTATTCTCTTGTGGCATGAGTTAAAAGTTTTTGTACAGCATGTGGATAGAATTTCAAAAAAATAATCAGCAGAGCTGTTTAGTTAAGATGGTCCTGGGATTAATCATTTCATTTGACTCACACAGTGCAAAGTGAAAGTTGGTTCATTTTTGTATCGATTAACGATGCACTTTCTACAAAATTCAAAGCAGAATTTAGAAATGAACAAGCTTGTATCATACCATTTGGTATATATACGTTTCAAAATGGCAGATTATATACCTCTCATTTTACATCAAAACAACATATCCATCGCTATTTATCCATGACATTTTTCTAAAATATTTCTTGTTTTTCTGAATCTCAACGTGAAAATTATTTTGTAATTTTTCAGGAATTGATACGAGGCTGCGATTCAGTCTGGAGCCTCCTCTTGGTGACAGTGCCTTCGACCAATGGAAAGATGCTATGCAAGCTGTTTCTCGCCTACCACTGGGCATACCAGATGGATTCCGCAGAAAGGTAATTAACAGCAATATATGATACTTACAGTGTGATATATAATTTATAACTTTGTCATAGGGTTTGGTTAGACACAATTCATTATACTGGCACACATGTTATTCTATAATCATCATGAATGCACAGTAAGTGTGTTTGTGATATAAACTTGTTTTACTCTATAAAGACAAAGAACACGGGAAGTTCGAGCCTAAAAGGTCACTACAGATAAGTAGCAGCTTCATTATTTGTCTAAACAGTTATAAAGTGCATGTGGAATTCCCAACAGGAAGTCGCTGAAGACAAGTGGTCACTATAGACAGATGGTTGTTGTAACCAGGTGGTGACTTTGCACAGGTGTCACCATAGAAAGGTGGTCACTGAATACAGATTGTCATTGTAGACAGGTGGTTGCTGATTACAAGCAGTCACTATAATACACATGGGAAGATTCAACTTAGTTTTCATTAAGTGGTGGTGAAAAACCAGAAAATTATTTGAAGGGGGTGGGGTTAGGCCGACTTTTGTATATTTCCTCACTGTTGGCTTTTGTTGTTATTTCAATCAGTAGATTTCCTGAGAGACCTTTATAGCAGTTCAGTGTGACAGTAAGTTTAAGTAATACACAAGATTTACTGTTTCAACCTGAAGATTTGGGATCGTTAAAGGTACTAGAGGGCATTCTGATATTGGATAGTTGGACACATGTTTCCTTCCTCCCGCTTCATTCACCTCCCATACCCATCCATCAAAAATACATGTAAAACCAGCAATAGCTAAAATGAAAATACTCTAAGAACTTCATGTATATTTTATCAAGTTGGATGATTTAGCTATATTTTTAAGTTTGAGCAAGATTGGTCAAAGTAAGTGTTTGTCAAATTGAATTGCCTACACGATGTTACTATTTTGTCAACAGTGTTCGTCATTCTGAGGACCTTGACTAAGTCAGCCTTAGACAGATTTGTTGTAGAGTTTAAATATTGCCAGAGTCCTCGGGGATCCAGGACAGATTGCTGTACATTTAAAATGTTGTCTTCATCCTCCGGGAACCGAGGGAAACTGATTATTTCCTTTTTCCTCTGGATAACAAGATTTAGGGAGTAGGAAGCTCATTGCCGTCTATGTAGGTGTTACAATGGAACGACACTTCTACTATTATTGAATCTTCTACCCAGAGTTGGTTCCCCGATCAAAATTACTTTGTATTATGAGGACCCATTGATGTCTTAATCCAATTTTCCCATGTTTTATTCACTGCCGATATATAATATTGTAGCATCATTTGTTTCATTCAATGGGAAAAAATAGTTATAGGTCATACCGGTATGTATGATTAGATTGTCATGACTGTCAAGAGGCCTTTCAGACTCAACTTACTGTACTAGTTAAGAACCATTGACAGAGTTTCTACTGTACTAGTTAAGAACCATTGATAGATTTTCCTCATCATGCTTTCTAATTTAAGGATCTTTTTACTACTGCCAAATACTGTAAACATGCACTGGAAACAAAAAGGATACACACCAGTGATTTTAGTGTAACCCCCCCCCGATCAGAACTTAAACCCTCGACCTCTGATTGTTAAGCTGTTGCTCTCTCAGTCTGAGCTACGTGGTCAAGATTCCTAGTCCATGCAGTCATGCAACTATTAGACCCAAAATAAAATTCAGGGGAGGTAATACCTGATGTACGAAAAAAACTACAGTGGAATCCTCTAGTGTTTTTCTGTAATTGGGCAAGGATCCTTACGATCCTTCAGCAAGCTTTCTGATGTTATACTTGACTGTTTCAACATATTCTCCTAGCAAACAGCAGTAAGACCATATTACCGATCTGCTAGGTATGTATATATAGGAGTTATATTTCCAGTGACAAATAGTTATTCCCACATACTTTATATCTACATACTAGATAATCCTTTACGTTGTGATTCTATCGTATAACAAAGCTGTGTTTGTGTGTAGACTTAAAACAGTTTTCATAGTTCTTTAGAATGTGGTGTCTTCAATTCATTGTAGAGAAATAAATATAAAATATACAGACATAAATAAAAAATATATAGAATAACGAAAAAAGAAAATCACTGTTGATCACTGGGACTTATTCTTGGTATCTTTTCTGTATAGGAGCCAATATACATTTGTTAGCAAAAGCATACGTAACAACTGTGGTAAAAATAAGGCAACCCACATAAAGTATAAAAAAAAAAAGAATTATAATCGTGAATGTGATTCCTTGTTAGAATAGGTAAAATGCTGTTCTAGACAATAATTGAGTCTGAAACCTATCCTTACATTTTGCATTGGTATGTAGGTATACACTTTATGTATGTAGCCACTGAAGCTACACAGAGATGAAGATAACCTACAGAGTGATTGGCAAACGGAGCACACAAAAAATGAAATCTTTGGTTTCTATTTTAATGCAGTCTCCTTTCATTAGCCCATAGAAAGCATGTAAAAAAAAAAAATTAAAAAATTCTTGAAACAAAAAATTAGCGTGATATTTTTATATCGTAATATAAATCACATACACCCACGCAGACATTATTATATTGTTGGGAGTCTGAGCGAGGGAGAGCCGGAGGCTGAATGTCAGAGGAAAGTCTACCTGGTGTGGCAATGTCATCCGAAGAGAATTTATCACAAAGCCAGGGAATCGTTTACTCCCACACGTAGCCTAGTAGTCTAATTACGACTGTACCATAAACAACGGCTGATAGACAACCGTAACACACCATACCCCGCATTGATCATGTACCGAGGGAAGTACTTTAACCAAAGAACAATTATAAAAAAAAACATTGAATCAATTATCTCATTGTTTTTTACCAAAGAACAATAATATTACAAAAAAAAGTATTTATTTAATCAATTATCTCATTGAATTACATATTTATGTATTTATATTGGGTTTGGTTTGATTTATGATAAAGATTTTTGCTGACATTTATGTTTTACAGTGCAACACTTAAAGGACATTTTTTTGTATCTCTCAGAGCAACATTATTAAATTAATTTAGCATTATGGCCTAATTAGATCATTTATCTATAGATACAACTTTGTGCAGAATTTTGCTGAAGCACAGTACCAGTTTGAATGGGGCTTTTTCAAATATCTTATGCCATGTTGTTTTCATAAATAATAAGAGAGTTATGGCCCTTGACTGTCAACTACTACCTATTGTAAAAGAAGGATTTCAACAAAACTTACTACTTGTAAGAATGTATGCATGTATAAACTGCTTGCCTGCTGTTTCAACCCTTCTTTAAGGAATGTTGGTTCTTGATGTAACTGCATGTAGCGGAACTGGACTTGGTTGATCGTTGGCAAGCAGGTAGCTCAATTGGTAGAGCGCTCGTCTAGAGTTCGGAGGGTTCCGGGTTCAAACCCTTGTCTGGACATCATATTTTTCTCTTTTTCCTATTACATAACTATCTTGCTTATAAAAAACACATAGTCCTTCCCTTCGTAATGAATTAATGTCAATTCATTTCTTGCAGTCCCAGAAAGAATTAAGTACATTGTATAGGGGCCCAGGTTATGCGAATAGATGTTTGCCACTCTATAACAATCTAGTAATTTTTGAACATCTGAACATTTTTCTGATTATTTTGAAATACTCTATGAAGATTTCTAAAGAAATAACCTATAACTCTGTCCCGAAAGTTTCAACTTTACTAGTTCATCAGAAGTTACCAAATATGATAAGCATGTAAATATCTTGGGATGTTGGAACAGCTTTGCATACCTGTTGTAAGTTGTTGTGACCCTCAAACCCCAATCATTGAAACAGTTTCTACATGACCCAAATCATGGAAAATTTCATCCATATTGCAAATATCTGTTGTTTGCAGCAACAGCAAAAAATTGCTATTAAAAAAATATCTTTTAATGTAATTCTTGTGTCAGCATAATAATAATTTCTTTACCAGTAGCTGATCCTGAGATGAGTGTAATGTAAATTAGGAAAGCGTTATCAATTCTGGACTACGGATTGCTTTAAAATACTTTGCCTTATTTGATTTTCATGTTGTCACTTCCAGGTCTGGATCAGTTTGGCCGAAAATCATATAAAGGAGCTGCGCATTGACTGGGAAAAAACAGTGCGGTTTGTTTTCAATGAGAGGAGCAATCCGGACGACAATACGTTGGGACTACAGATTGTTAAGGTGAGTGATGTGAACCTGATGCTATCAACAGCGATCAGATCAATATCAGTCAGAGATTATAATCCACACCAGTGGTTAACAGATAACTCGGACCATATTTAATCACGCACAGATTACTGTATACAGGGAACGTTTTGCTGCAGTTTCATTTTCGCCTTTTGCAACCTCCATAATGAAGGCGAATTCATCGTGAGATTGGATATCAATACATTACATACTATATATAGTAATTATGATAAAGGTGAGATTAACACTAGGCAAATATAGATTTTATATATAAATGGCAAAGTTTGAACATGTGATTGATTCTGGTAAGCAGTGATATTCGAAAGATATATAAACGTTTATGATGTTTATATATAAATTTGTATGAGATATATAATAAAAAACACAGGTATGAAAATATATTTCTAACAAAGGATTTAGCAGTAATTTTAGATCCAGTATAAAAGGGGTGGTTGGGTGGGGAATTTGCTAGCACACTTTAGCCTTGCAACACAACAGCCAGAGTTTGATACCTCAATCAGACGTGAACAGGTATTAGAGGTCACCTGCCTGACCATGTGGGTTTTGTGACCAGGTGCTTGACCATTTACTCCAACATTAAGACCCCTTGTGCATTTCAGTCCATCCTTTACGCAATGTAATGTGAAGAAGTTCAATTATATTCATCATTTTTCTGACTGATACGTCAATAAAGGAAGCTCTGCCTTATAGTTTTATGTCACTGTTAATTTTTACGTTTATATACACGGGTACTAATTATGATAATGTCCCATAGCATTGTTCTTGATATGCAACTATCTGTATGGACAACTGACAATGTATGATAAAACATTCAGCTTCTGTAACAAACATTTCTGTATGTTTCAATGCAATGATGATCACGTATATATATTTCAACTCTATACCAGATAATTTGGTCACAAAACAAACATCATTATCAGAACTGATGTCTTCAGGTTATGATCGTAAACGAGTCAGTGACCTTGACTTGCTCCGATTTGATACCGTTGTGTGGCGATGAGAAACAAGTACATGTATTCCCTGCGGAAACCCAGTCACGATTCTAGAGTAAACATTGATTTTGGCTAGTTGTAGGTGTTTTACTGGTGTTTCGATCGTCACTGCCGTTTCTGTTAGCCGTGGGTAGAATCTTTGTCTAGGGTCCAATGTTCGGATTTTATTGTAACTCCGTGTTATCAAAAGGTCAGGGTCATTTTAAAAGGTGTGCCCAGAGAAAGTTCGAGCCGGATGTTACCGTTTGATTTTACTGAATATTTCTTTGAGATAATTAAGATGCATGGCTTATGTATCTTTAATTACTTTCATTGTATTTATTCATACATTTAAGTTTGACCTACATAGCTGTTATACAAACCTAAGTCAGCTGTGATTTATGCGACCATAAATCTAATATTTGATAGTGGCATCATTATACTTGTAAATTAACGGTGACATATTATTGTAACATTGGGGATAGCTGGCCGATACTGGCTGTTCATTTCTTGAAAATGCAGCTGTCAATCTAAAACCTCAAGTTTTACTAAGAAATATGAAAGTTGAATTAAATGTCAGTCCAGACAAAGGATTCAATGCTTCTTTGGTCCTGTCAACATGTATTTATGGTATTCATTTGGAATTTTGCAATTTATTTTTGATTTTATGATTCCTTCCTCAGGTTTTGTGGACTTTTTAGAATAATTCTCATTGAATGTTCTACAGTTTTTAACATGTTTTCTTGTCACTCGAATCGTTAGAAAAATACATTTGATAAAAATGTTGACAATTAACACTCTTTATTTCAATCTGTAAGCCCCAAAAAATATATGTCGGACAAATTGCCATCTGTGATTTCAGAATTCCCAGGTATGCATAGCATAGGGAGAGCCATCCATTCACTTACTGTCAGTGTTTGTTAAAAAGTGTATGATGCATAGTTATAGGGTCACTGTACATTTAGAGCTATATTCTACATAAAAAAATTGTCAAATGATCAATTACCAATAACTTTGACCAGGTATGAACAAATGCTATACTGGTATGTGTCTATAGGGTTCATTGGAATGTAATTATCACAAAGCATGAAGTTTGCCTTTGATTGAAAATAACTTTGACCAGGTATGAACAAATGCTATACTGGTATGTGCCTATAGGGTTCATTGGAATGTAATTATCACAAAGCATGAAATTTGCCTTTGATTGAAAATAACTTTGACCAGGTATGAGAAAAATGCTATATCAGTATAAATGTTAAAGTTAGAAATGTGTTCATGTCTAGTGTTCAGTGGAATGTAATTAGCACACAGCATGCAGTTGCCTTTGATTGAGAATACTATCACAGGAAAAATTGATTTTTTCATAAGTTCAAAGCAAACCTTTATCAAGTGAAATAGTTATAAATGTTTCAAATCAATTTTGGGTGGCTGGTTTTGGTCATGAAGTGTTATAACTGATATTTGTAGAAAGAGATATCTAGTAATAGTTTTACGGCACCAGATATATACAGTCAGACCTGTATTAAGAGACCACTATTCTGATGTCCAAAAAGAGGTTTCTTGACACAGGTGATGTCTTACTACAGGTTCAGTTTACAAAGAAATCACTACAACCAGGAACAGGAAAAGTTCTCTAATGACAGGTTGTCTCTTTATACAAGTTGTCTCTTAATACAGGTTAATTCACAATGAAATCACTACATTAGGGAGCACTGAAAATGGCCTCATAACACAGGTAAAGTTCACAATTGAAATCAGTATGATAAGGAGTACTAGAATTGGCTTTTAACACAGGTTAATTCACATTGAAATCAGTATTTCTACTTCTACTTCTAAATGGTACTGACCAACTTCAACAATTTGAAGATAAAATGTCAGACGAGGAGTGAAACATGGAAAGAGAGTGTTTTTAAAAGATACGAGATGGTCTAATTTGCGTTTGAAAGGTGACGGTAGAGGGCTGATTTGAATAATCCCGTTGTGGGGCTCGAAATAATGTCAGGTGGGAGTTTATTCCACTCGGGTATAGTTCGAGGGAAGAATGATGCCTTTCTGGTCTGGGTTTTTGAGTGGGGAATTTGATACGAAAACTGGTGGTTTGTTCGGGATTTTCTAACTGTAGGGATTAATCTGTCTGATTTTACGATAGCGACTTTCTGGTTTACAATGTTATGAAGCATGGTCAGACGAGCATCTCTACGTCTATCTGCTAGAGGGCGCAGCTTTAGGTGGTCCAACATTTCTGACACACTGGAGGTACGATGGTTGTACCTGTGCTTATTGAGCACATAGCGCGCTGCCCTTCGCTGGACCATTTCCAACTTGTCAATATTTGTTTGGGTGTGAGGGTCCCATACTGTACAGGCATACTCAAGTGATGGTCGAACTAATGATTTGTATGCCTGTACTTTGGCTGATGTTGAGCCAATTTTAAGATTTCGTCTTAAAAAGCCTAGCGTAGAATTTGCTTTTGGGCAGATAGTATTTATATGTGAATCCCATTTAAGGTCAGATGATAGTGTTACACCCAGATACTTGGCCTGACTAAGATGTTCCAGTATGTGTCCATGTAAAGTATAATTATGGACTATTGGAGTTTTGTTTTTAGTCACCGACAACACATTGCATTTGTTTGGGTGGAAGATCATTTTCCATGTATTTTCCCAGAGCGCTAGTTTGTCAAGATCTTTTTGAAGTGTTTCAGCATCACTGTTTGACTTGATAACTAGATATGCAATAGTGTCGTCTGCAAATAAACGGATTGTAGCATTTAGACCCACAGGGATATCGTTTATAAAGTAAAGAAATAAACTGGGTCCCAAAACTGACCCCTGGGGTACCCCGGAATGGACATCGACAAAATCAGACTTCTCCCCTTCAACTACTACTGTCTGAGTTCTACCGGTCAGGAAACTCTCGATCCAGTTTGCGACATTTCCACGTATACCATAATGTTTTAGTTTATGGTTTAGGAGAGAATGACTGACCTTGTCGAAAGCCTTAGCAAAGTCCATTATGAGGATATCTGTTTGGCGTCCCTCATCGAGATTCTTTGAGATGTCATCCACAAATTCAAGAAGTTGGGTTTCGCATGATCGCGATTTGCGAAAACCATGTTGGAACGGATACAATATGTTATGGGTATCGGCATGGGTCATGATAGTTGAGACCACAATGTGTTCCATAATTTTGCTACAGATACGATGATAGGGAACACTGAAAGTGGCCTTATAACACAGGTTAATTCACAATGAAATCAGTATGATAGGGAACACTGAAAGTGGCCTTATAACACAGGTTAATTCACAATGAAATCAGTATGATAGGGAACACTGAAAGTGGCCTTATAACACAGGTTAATTCACAATGAAATCAGTATGATAGGGAACACTGAAAGTGGCCTTATAACACAGGTTAATTCACAATGAAATCAGTATGATAGGGAACACTGAAAGTGGCCTTATAACACAGGTTAATTCACAATGAAATCAGTATGATAGGGAGCACTGAAAGTGGCCTTATAACACAGGTCAATTCACAATGAAATCAGTACGATAAGGAACACTGAAAGTGGCCTTATAACACAGGTTAATTCACAATGAAATCAGTATGAAAGGGAGCACTGAAAGTGGCCTTATAACACAGGTTGAATTCACAATGAAATCAGTATGATAGGAAGCACTAAAAGTGGTCTTATAACACAGGTTAAATTCACAATGAAATCACTATGATAGGGAGCACTGAAAGTAGCCTCTAAGCACAGGTCATTAAGTGTTATATATCAGCTAGGTGGTCACATAACAGGCTTGACTGTTTTGATTGCAAAACAGCTGATGTTCAATTTGTCCGTCCATGGTACTTGTCATACATTGATGTGTCTTGTGGTTAAAAATCTAATCAACATACAGACAAATATCTCTATGTATACCGTGATGATGTAAAACATTTTTATTCACTGGGTTTTCTATAGGATCTTCATTGAAAAATAGACAACTAAAGGCT